TGAAAGACAACACACAACATGTTACAGTAAGTTACCCCCCCCCCCCTTATTGGCCAAAGAATAATAGAACTTTTCTGGAATATTTCAAAGTGGTTATGATTTTCATAGTCACCCTGTTATAAAGGTTTTCAATATTAAGCAAACTCGGCAGCTTAGAGCTGCTTGATAAACTGTGTGTTTTCACTATCCATCAATCAAAGATAATCAGTCAGTACTCTCTACATTTTTGACTGGCAGCAGTGAAAAAACCAAATTTAACAGCCAACTTTCAACTACAGAATTCGCACTATATTGAAAATTGCAGTAATGTATTTACCTATATCATTATAGTTTTATTCAAGTGGGAAAAAACGTCTTAGCTGCTCCAAGAAAATCCAGGTGATGATGGTATGAGGTGCAAGTCTCACCCATGCTGGAATAAAACCCTATGAAAAGACAACAACTTCAACTAAGAAAATGGAATATTTAATTCCATTCATCATCATCATCATCATCGTTGTCATCATCATCAGCAGCATCATCAACATCATCATCATAGTCATCATCATAGTCATCATCATAGTCATCATCATAGTCATCATCATAGTCATTATCATCATCATTGTGTAGTCATCATCAACGTCAACATCATAGTCCTCAGCTGAAGCAGCATCATCATCATCATAGTCATCATTATTGTCATCAGCAGCAGCATCAAAGTCATCATAGACCTCGTCATCATCATCATCATCAATATTATTATTATTATCTACCAATGTTCTAAGACAACAAGGACATGAAGGAGAAAAAGTGATGCTTACCTTGTAGAAACCCATTGGCCCAAGTTTTGCTGTATAGTAAACACAATGTAGAGCAGTCTGGAAAGAAAAGAATGAAGAAGATGAGTGAAAAAAGAATGAACTAAACAGTTTTATCTATGGACATATATTGTGATCGAACTGCACTGGAGGATAAGGTGTTAGTAAGTGGATGGTATGGTTGGTAAGGTGTTGGTATGTAGTTGGTAAGGTGTCAGTAAATGGTTTGTAAGGTGTTACTAAGTGGTTGGTAAGGTGTTAGTAATTCAGGTTGGTAAGGTGTTGGCAAGTGGTTAAGGTTTGATGTTGGTTAATAGTTGGTAAGTGGATAGTAAATGGTTGGTAAGTGGTCAGTAAGTGGTAACTATATAACAAACAAAAAAGTTTATAGGTAATATTTCTTTATAGCAAGATCAGTTAGTAGTCAAATTAATTCATGTGAAGGAGAACAAAACCAATGATCCAGACCTTGTACTGTCCTGGCCTTGCTTCCATTAGTCTTGTCTTCATTACATCAAATGGCTGTGTAAGACCAGTTGCTATGGTACCCTGTGATAAAACAATAGGACTTGAAGTAAACCACCTAATACAAAGAGAATATAGCCATGTTGTTGTGGCAACTGGGATTACTGCTTTTTCTATTTTTATTTAATTATTATTTTACATGGTCATCCGAGCCAGGAATGTCTAACTGTTTGCAGATGTTATTTACAAAGGCAGCACCTTCTCCTCAGTTATTTCTCAATCCTGTGTACTGCCGGGAATTAAACCACAACCACCCACACATTTAAACTGATGCTCAAACAAATGAGCCAACTGAGGGGCAGTGTAATTGGTAGGCTAGTAGAAATACTTACTGCTATGAAGCTTGCTGTGAAGTGAGTAATAATATTTTCATTGAAGTACCTATGAAAGCAAGAATCATAGTGGTATTAAATAGTGCATACAATCACGTAAAGTTTCCTTACTGTAAGATATAACAGTTGAACCATGTGTTTAATGTAAAACATTCCTAATTAATTCTTGGCCTTGCATACCGTGTTGATAATAGTATTTGTTTAGTCTGGTCATAGCAGGCAACCTGCAACAAAAAAAAGCACATTTATTTAGCTTCAAAAACAGACAAAAACGGTATCTACAATGCAGGTTCATCATCTTGATCAAAGACCTTGATCACATGGCACCATGTTAACTCCCTTGAGAATCCTTTGTTTGACCACTCATAACCTCATCCTGAAGTACTTAAACACAAGGCTATGTGGGGCAAAATCTAACGTTCCAGTAAACATGGCTGCCACATGATAACCGGGTGGGACAGACAAGAGCTTCCCCAGTTTTTTGAAAGGTTTTCATTAACAAATGAAGAACCAGCCTTTCTTTTAAAAAAATCTTGAGAAGAGGCTTGAGTTCACTGCTAGGCTACCCGTAGCACATGGTTATTTGTTAAGCCCACCCCCACCCACTTTTAAAAAGGCTGCATCACCCCTAAATGGTTATACCTGAGCTACAGTCATGAGCAGTGCTCTGGTAGAAGTCATGCTGACACCTCGCATCCATGATGGTAAGCCCTCTGTGTGCATCAAAGAAAAGAATAGTGAATATAATATACAGCTATTTCAAAAAAGGTAGGTGAAGGTTTTGTTGCATGTTGCTTGTTGCTATTACTGCACCCGTTGCTGCCAGTAGCTGGAGTGTTAATTTTACCTTGGGTGGCTGATTTGTACAGTCCATCAAAAACATGCTTATAGCTGAAAGACAACACACAACATGTTACAGTAAGTTAGATGCACATCGCATAAATATCACAGCTGTTAAATGAAGTATAATGGATTAATAAGCATGGTTAAATTGGCTTACTGTCTTTGTTTCTCGATAGGAAGTTTGATGTCATTTTGCATCCTACAAGGTAAACATAATAAAATCAAACATATAACAGGTATATACTATTAATTATTATATGACCGTGAATCTTAGAGCCTGGACACTAGCAAATCGAGCAATCTGATTGGATAGATCGCATCGCGGACTGGTCTAGATTCTCCGGTATTAACTGGTCCGATCGCATATTAATCTTACGGCGAAAACATTTTGTCCTTTTCAATGAAAAGTGGTCATATAATAAAATTCTTATCAACCGAGCTTGGTTGGTCTGTACAGGACAATCTTGACCTGGGTCTGTACATTCCGACCTCAGTCAAGATTATCCTGTACAGACCGCCCGCTCGGTTAATAAGATCTAAATATTATTAATAATGATATTTAGGACTGATCTTGTGAATTGAAATATTTGGATTTTTGTAAATGAACTTGCGTACATAGAACTAGCATCTTACCTAACATTGATCATGTCTGCAGGATTTCCTACAATGCCACCAAGAAAACCTTTGATAGATATTATACATACATATATTAATATTATTGTAACATGAAATCCTTTAGTAACAATATGTATGATTTTATTGCACATTTAGGTTTGATATCAGGGTGATAAAGTGGAATAAAAACCATATCATTGAAGTGATACAACTAACAATATCACTTCATGGTAAACTGTGAGTTTTGTCCTTGTATCGACCCTAAATGTGTAATAAACAAATTATTACATGTTAAGATCCTGATATATTTTATTTGCTTGTTTTACATATCATATCACTCACTTGCTTTCAGACCCACTTGTTTGCGATATCATATGTCCATTTGTGAATAAAAACAATTCAAGCTCTTAACAAGTCTCCTTCACACCTCCCCAAGGAAGGGTTTATGCAGTGTGATAATGCTAAAACCAGATGTGAAGGACTCTATGATGTACTGGATTCAAAATGTTTGACATCTGTCATAATATTACATGTAGGCATGTCCATGGAAGAGAGATTTGTATCAGCTGTGACCAGAAGTTCTTATGGGTATTTGTGCTGACAACTTTGTTCAGGTCAAAATTATTGCTTACATATACATTAATCTGAGACTCTGGATGGGAACAACTTGGATACTAAATTTCTCCTTTACTACTGATAATTTCCTGGCGGCTGTCATTAGCACAAGGCCTATACAATTTTGTTAAAGTTTTTGGGTGAGCTCATAATAGGAGTGGGGGGGAGGGCTTATAAGCTGGGGCCTTATAAAAAAACGTCTGAAATCTGTCCTATCAAAAAATGTTTAGTAATGTCTACTTCAATTAAACAACAGTTTTCATGCAAACAGCTGTAAAAACTTTGAAACAGGAATGTGCTCAGAGAGGCTATAATCTGAGTGGATTGGCAGTGCTCTACTGGGCTGCATCTGGGGCTTGTAACCAAAAGGAAAAATATCTATTAGCAGACGGCTGGGCTAATAACCTTGGAGTAGGGGGGTACTTATATTTCTACTATAATATTCTTTTAACACTAGCAGACAGACCAATTAAGACAACCAGTTTATGGCTAAATGTACTAACCTGAAACAGCACCTAACATAATTTTCTGATAGAAAGGAAGTGGTACTGTAAAAAAGATAGAGGAATTCCTATGTATGAGCACAACAAATGTTAAGTTATAGAATGGTACACTCAAATGGTAATATCCTTTTTTGGAACTATGCTCACTGCAAGGGTGGAAATGCATGATCGTAGTGTAGCCAGTGCAACTTTACAATCAAGTATCTGACCCTAGACTGTGGCAGATCCAGATGAGGATTCATAGAGCCCCGTATGAGAAATCTTGTGAAGCTGATCATATTCTTCATACTAAGTACAATTAATTGGAACCCTCCTTGAAGCCTATCTTACCAGATTTTTCTGCATGGAGGTCATGTCGGAATCAACTATTTTAAAATCCTGGATCTGCCACTGCTAGAAAACAGTGAGCTGTGTCTCTCACAGTTCAGCATCAGTGCTACTAGAGAGAATAAACAGCTTTCCCCAAATCCCTCACCCCCTCCCACAAACTTTTTTTTGTTCAAGACACATCAAGGTTACTTTACCATTTTCTTTACGAAGCATTCCTGACCATATTTCATATAATCCATAACGTGTTGTTGAATATGTCAACTGTAGAAACATGACATCAAATAATTATCATCAATGGTTGTGTATTCTGGCAGGGATGGAAAACCCAACCAAATTATCCACCCCCTCCCCCCCCCATACTGTACAATGGTGCATGAATTTGATCTAATTACATTCTGATTTTCCACTTCTTAGCAAACTGTTATGATTGCTGCAATTCTCAAAAACATGCAAGCTCTGTGTTGGCAAGCTACATGCTGAAATTTGGTTTTTTAATGCCATCAATCATAATATTATACGACTGTTTCATAATATTCTTGTCTACAGCCCTCTATATAATAATTATCAAACTCATGAATAATTAATGAGGAAAACACAACAGAAATCACGACCGTGAAGAGTGTTGTAAATCTGATACAAAACTGTGTTCATTTGCATAAACTTTAAGTTGGATTTTCTTGGCCAAATTCACTTTAATTTTGAAACTTTTAGTGAAACACAAAGGAACTAACCTAGACGCTTGATAAGTCATATGCAGTATTCGTGTCCGTGTTGTATCAGATATACAATCACTCGGCTACGCCTCACGGTTGTATATCTGATACAACACAGCCACTCATACTGTATATATTACATAGTCATAGCATAATAAACTATTTCATTAGTTACCTGTCTCATTACTGATGCAGTTAATCCATTATAGAGTCCCCTGACTCCTTGCAGCTTTACCACTTGTACAGCCATTTCACTGAGCCCATGCTTCACATTTTGTTGGGTTTGCAAATGAACCTGGTTATGATAAACATATACATAGATTACATATTTACCATATATGACTGTGTATATTGTGTGCAAATGTATATATTTTTGAAGATATATTATGTACTATTATTACATGGTTTATTGTTTGACCGTAGTTGCAACATTGTGACTACTATAACCGGGGCCACCTAGGCTGCTTGAACCAATCAAATTGTAGAATGAAAACAATACATTCCAACTTTGGGTATTGTAGCCAATCAGGTAGCAGCAGAAAACAATACCCTTTTCAAGAACATACCTTTTTATTCCCATGAGAAAATGGTGATGGCTATCTAGTTAATCATTTACAAATATTAGGGTCAAATTACCATTCTTGTGCAGACTATGGTTAAGTTTGAATGCATTATTTTCATTCTACATTTAATTGGTTCTATCGTCTAACTGTTCTTAATGGCCCCAGTTACAGTAGTTGCAGTTTAAATATTACAAATGCATGATATCATTAGACAGATGTGATGATGATTTTTAACAACTTTGTGATGAAATTTGTAATTGGTTGGTTAGGGAAATATCTGTCAACCACATTCAAGTTTCTAGTCATGCAGGCTTGATTGCATTATGTAAAACTATATAATCCAGTCATCATCATATGTATGTCAAATGTCAGCTCTTCCAAAAGACCCTTTTCAAATTCCAAATTACTGCTGTGTTTCTTGATTACAGACTCATTTGCACAGAGTTAGCCTCGAGTTTGTGCAGAATATTCACGTGTTCCAGTCAAGGTCCGTCAAGTTTCAAAGTGTTTGTATTGTTGAAGTTGTGCATTCTTTACTTTACCGTTGGTATTTGTGAATATTTAAACACTGATATGAGGCTAAACCTGTGCAAATGAGTCTGCAACCAAGGAACACAGTGGTAATTTGGAATTCGAAACTGGTCTATTGCATTTCTAATAGTATTATAAATTTGTGCTATGTCTTCATGTGCCATTCTTAACCTACTCAACTCTTTTAAACTTGTCTTTTTTTATGTAATGGAAAAGAGTCGTCATTCGAAACCTGGGAATAAATTTGATTTTTGATCTTGCAATATGATATTTATATGACTAACTTGCAAACAGCTGTTTTGCTAGAGCCCTTTTTATATGCCAACCTACCTCGACAAGAAAGATCAACTTAGGTGTGGCAACAGTAGTTTTATTTTGTAAATAAAACTAAAAACACCTCACTGAGCATAGGGCTTAAGCATAACCATTTTAATATACTGTTGTAGTATGTTAATGTTAGGAACAAGAACACATTTATCATGCTAAATTTGTATAAATAAATATAGTATCCTTAATAACAAAGGAACAAAATAAGTTAGAAGCGAATGTGAAAACTAGTGCTTATACCTATTACTAGTATATGACCTCAGAAAACTTCATGTTTATAAAACACATACAAGCTGTGATCTTGACTTTAATAACTTATCAATACAGTTACATAGTAGAAAAAAAACAACTGTACAAGAATAAAAACAATACTAATCGCTGTTATATTATTGTTAAAAATTCTTGTTTTCTTTGTTTTTTCATATCTAACAAGCTTAATTTGTTTTCAAGATTCAACTGACTCTCGCATTTCCAAATAGGGTTTAATTTCTTTGAACAAAGATCACATTTCTGCAAACTGAACTATTCCCTATTATAAACAGATAGTAATATGTTTAAAATCTATTTGCATTTTAAAAAATATTTTAAAAATAATCGTGAAAAAACCATACGCATGAATACGTGTCATGTGGCACGATCGACCCCAGGTGCGTAAACGCGTGTTGCTCCCATTGAAAGCGTATTTATGTCTAAACCTCTACAATTGCCACAATTCTAAATTACGATAAAAGACAAATATGACTTATTTATCCTTTTTTCGTAGGAACTTTTGCTCTTCTGGAGCATTTACGGCCTACCTTCAGGAGATCGAGAGGATGAGTACAACATGCAGCCATGGCCGACGCGATTCCTCCCAAGTACCATCGCTGTTTTTTCACAATTACTTTAGGCTTGACTGGAATTTTTCCCGCTCTTGGAGGCTGAGCCATCGTTGGAGACGTTGTTAAGACCGTGACCGTGATAGTAAATAACTCCTTCTTACGCTAGTTTTGCTCTCACTGCGTAAGACCTTTGTTTGCAATGTCGATAGTCACATGCTACTGACCCAGCGTGACTAAAAATGAGACACAGCACATTTTCAGATCAATCACGGCTATGTGCCGCCCTATAGGGTATGGTTTTTCGGCCTTTGGGTCTGGGGTAGGGTATCATTTTTTGACATTTTGTCTGGGATAGGGTTAACGATTTGGTCGTTTTTGTATTGCGAAAAGGCTACGCTTTGTGCCGACACAAAAACAATAAAAATGTTAGTAAATATTGATTGCAGTCGATTGTAAAACCGTATTTTCCATCTTTTAGTCTGGGATAGGGTGTACAATTCTTAGTTTTAGTCTGGGGTAGGGTATGTAAAATTAAAATTTTAGGTCTGTGATAGGGTCAGGGTTTTGAGGTCCTGGCGGCACTTCCCTACCCAAGTTGGGGTGGTAGTACCCCCCCCCCCCCGGGATGATCTTCTTTATGTTTTTACAGTAATTTTTTATTCAAATTAATTCAAAGAGCCAGAATACATAGACTACCACCTTTTTCGTGCAATATTGATAACCTGATACTCATCTTTCTGTTATAGAGATGTTTGAGCTGTAGCGGACATCTTCTTTCGTTCAGTGGGGACATCTAATTCAGTAATGGGTACACAACGCAAAACGCTCGTCGATTATATCAGCG